AAAAACGATTTGTTGATGTAAAATGTGTTGTTCAACATATTTAAAAACTTTTTCTACACACACACAAAACATGATGTATGAACCCCCCCCACCGTCTGTGTCCTCTGACAGACGAGGAAGAAAAGACAGAAGAAGTGGAGGAGAGAAAGTCCTCTTCCTCATCAGCCTGGAGTAGGTGATGAAAGATGAGGAAGAGGAGAAGCAGAACTCACAGTTACCACAGCGGTAGTTCCGGCCGTCCTCGATCACCGACACCCGGCCCAGAACATCAGAACCCCCCCTGTTGGCGTAACGCAGCACCACATGGAAGAGGTCTGGAGAGCCGACAGACACCGACACCAACACCTTGGACTGACGAGGGACCAGCAAGCAAGGCAGCAGGCAGGAAGAGGAAGTGGGAAGACAGGAGATGGAGACGGCGAGAGAGGGAGGGAAGAGATTGAAGAAGAGGAGGAGGTGTGAGATATTCAGTAATAAAGAGAAGAAGAAGAAGAAGGAGGGAGGAAACAGACAAGGAGACGAGTGAAGAGGAGTCCAGAAAAGACAGGAAGAGAAACCACACCAAAATAAAAGAGCTTAGCACCATCACCTCCATCATCTTCATCACATTCATCATCTTCGTCACATTCATCATCTTTTTAAACATCCACACATGCAGTCGAGGAGTGGGCGGAGCAACGAGGGGCCACAGTCACAAAAATAAACATACAGAAAATCCATTTCACAGAAACCTGCAGAGTTTAACATGTTAATAAAAACATCATAACTTCCTTAATATTCAAAAAGTATTTAAAGTTTGTCTTCATCATGAAGAAATCCTCTCGTGGTTCAAAGATAAATGAGTTCCTACCTGGATCGGGGTCATCTGAGCGTAACCTCTCCAGCTGAAGTCCTTGAACTCCAGAGGGTTGTATCCGAACCTCACCGGCCGTCCGTCCAGCATGGTCCCCTCCTCGATCTCAAACCTCAGGTGGTGGAGGTCGGGGAAGTAGTGATCTGGACGAGGGCTGCAGGCAGAGTCACATCAACGTCAGGTGAGAAGCAGAAACATCACTTCCTGTCAGGTGTCAGGTGCTGTTCAACTCACAGGTTACACTTCGCTCCCTCCACGTTGGGTCTGCAGCGACAGCGGCCGTTCCTCTCTCCGCACGATTGACCTGCTGCACCCCCGATGTCACACTGGCATCCTAGTACACACACAACACGTGAACACGACACGTGAACACAACACGTGAACACAACACGTGAACATTGATTTCAGAAGAACTTGTTTTATTCTTCGTGCAGATGAACAAACCCTGGCAGCCGAAGTAGCTTTGCTCCTGCAGGTTGTAGAATCCATCTTTACAGGTGGAGCAGGTTCCGCTGCAGGCGTTTGGTTTACAGTGACACTGACCCGTTTCCTGTCGGAGACCAGAACAGGAAACACGGAGAAAACATCAGCAGCGGTCGTCACATTGTTCATTCAATGGTGGCGACAACTGAATCAAACAATATGTTGTTTTAATTCACGTTAACCACAAATTCTGAAATCCAACATGAAAACTGCATCACAGAATTTTCATGTTCATTCATAGTCAATAAAGACAAACA